ATCTGGTGAGCATCTTCCACATATCAGAGACCCATCTATACCACTGAATACTATGCTTCAAGAGAAAAAAATACTTCTTGATCTAAAACACTCAAATTCATTTCAGGCTACTGCACTGAACCTACAAATGTTTCCTAGCTGATCCAGTATAGATCACTCCCTCACTCTTGTTAACTACATAATTTACTAACCCATGTGCCAAAACCATTAGAGTCATAGATCTTCAGATGGAACAACTAGTCTGCCCAACTGTGGAAAAGAACATTTAGTTTTCAGGAACAAAAGCGTTGGTAGCTATAACTTCATACAAGAGAGTTAAACCCTCACATGAGATGGAATTAGCCAAGTTCTCTCAAAATTCAAAACCCCAGGAATTCCAGGGTTCCACCAGGCTTCTTATCAAGCTTGTGCTAAAGATTCACGCATGCATGCATGCATTCAACAACCATCTATTTAACACTGTATGTTTTCTAGGCACTGGAGATACAGGAGTGAATAAAACAAATGCATCCCTGCCTACTCCCAAGGAAGATTAAAACAGTAATCTACCTCGCCTTTCCTCTCCTCACACACCTTTCTTGGCACCACTACAATCCTAAGAAAGAATCCTAAAATATACTCTACCCCATCCAACTGATTGAACCAGGGTCAGACAGCTGCTCCAGGGGGAGCCAGACCACTGGCGGTTGGAAACCGACCGTATTCTCCCTCTGAATAACTTGAACTAAGTGCTCACGGTGACTGAGCACATTAAGGACAGGAAAGATGCCTTACCCATTCTACCAACTCAAGTCCCTGCAGTGGTCCCTATCCCCACCCTTCCTGAGACCCAAATACTCACCATGAGATAACCCATGTCCGTCTAGTAAAGTGCAGGCTGTAGAGTTAGGTAGACCTGGGTTTGAATCCTGCCTCTCTGTGTATTAACTATAATGTCATTGACACCTCCTCTAATTTTTTAACATTCTATTGTGTATATTTTCAAGTACACTGAGCACCACAAGAAGACGTAATATAGGGTAGTGGTTAAAATCACAGACCTGGGGGCCTGACTGGCTCAGTTTAAATCCCAGCTTCACCACTTAGTAGCCAGATGAACTTTAGACAAGGCACTTAACCTCTCTGAGCCTCAGTTTCCCCATCCTTATCATACTGAAAATAATAGTACGAATCTAAGGTTTTGAAGATTCAATGTATTGGGGGTTTATAATGCTACGTGTATAAGTCACTGCTAATGTTATACTCTTACATATTCTTTTTTTACTTTTATATACTCCTTTATCTATATTTACCCTTTTGCCTGCCCTGGCTAGGAAATTCTCCCAAAATTTTTTAAATATCTGGGAATATTCTTGCCAATATTTCCAAAAATTAAGTTTGGAAAATCCCAAGTTCCTTGGTAAATGTGGACAAATGAACGGTGCTAGGTTTGGTTCCTTATAAATCCACTTGGGCATCATTCTAGGGCAGTAGGAAGGCGGTGGGGCTGGAATAGAAGCCTGCTCTTTCTCATGGATTCTGTGGCCTAGAACATCAAGTCATCATTTCTCCTCAGTTTGGGGTGAGATCTCGCTTGCTCAGATTATGCAGTAAAATAAATTGTGTAACATCAACCCGATTCCAAAGAGGGGTTGCAGGCATGCATGGAACATGAGAGGGCTCTGTCCCACGAATATGTGCAAGAGTACAGTCCGGCCAGCAACTGGTTCCAACCCAACAGGGGCCCATGGTGAATAATTTTATCTGGATGTTTTTATAGACACTGGGAGACACATTTGATACTGTGGCAATAAAGCTTTTGTAATTGCTTCTGGCTTATTTCATGATGTTTTCTGTCTTTATCACATCATTATACAATATTGCACGACCAAAACTCTACCATCAAAGTGTGCTGTGCTAAAGACAATGTGGTGTCCTGGGTTGGATTCTGGAACAGAAAAGGGATATTAGTGAAGAAAGTAGCAAAATTCAAATAATATTAACAGTTAAGCCAAAGGGAATGTACTCGTGTTGACTTTTTAGTTTTGACAAATGTACCATGGTGATGTAAAATGTTAACATTAGGGGAAAGTGGGTGAGGAATATATAGAACTCTGTGTACTATCTTTGTAATTTTTCTGTAAATAAAAAAGTACTCTGAAAGAAAAATTTTATTTAAAAAAAAATGTGCTGTGAACACAAATGAGTTGAGAAACTTGGATCCAGGTTGCACGCACAGCCCCTCACTCACATTTCCCATCCTTAAAAAGACTAAACGGAGCCTATAGTTATTCTGCATTCCCAAAATGGGTGGGGGGTGTCATTGGCAGGAAGGGAAGCTGGGATGGGGGAGGCAGAGTATGTTCACAGCATTTAAGGACAAAATGTGCCTCCAAAAACGAACTATAATTATACAGAAGCCGAGAAGTATTTGCAGAAAATCACTATCTCATAGGAATCTACATCCTGTTAATCAAAGAGGTTGAGGCCCTTTTGATTATCAGACTAAATATTTTTAGGCAATATCACTGAATGCCTGGAAAGAATATGAACAACATCAGCTGGGGAAAAATCCGTCTTCAGATAAAAAGGCAAGTCATGCATATCACAGAAAAAATGAACCCCAGGAAATTCACATAAAAAGGTTGACCAAAATTTGCCCATATTGAAACACTTTCCTCCCTGTTTGCCTTCACCCAAGTCCTCTACTCCCCTCCTTCCAAACACCTAGATTTCTACATTGGCTATTGATTCTCTTAGCATTTGACCAAAGCATAAGGAAGAGGTCAGAAAGCGACCTAGCATTATTAATATCAAGCAGAAAGGGAAAGAGAAATAGATGGAGATTATTGTTCTCTTAAGTGGGTGATTGAATATCCATGAAAATGACATTTAAGTTGAGACTACCAAATCTCCAGTCATATACAGAAACTTGGATGCTTAGTGAAGAACAAACTAAAAATGGCATGATGCACCCTTCTTGGTGTATCACAAACAGATGTATCTTTCTTTCCAGTTTTTGTAATGATAAATCATTTTGGCTCCCATAATGTCCAGAAAAGGGTTTTATATTCAGCAGGTGCATTATAATTTTGGAATGAAGGACTGGTCTTGTTATCCATTTATCAGACTGGATTCTTTCTCTCCTACTTCTCCATCAGTCAAAATGGGCTCTGGGGATTGCTTGGTTTCTTAAACCTTTAATAGCTGATTAATATCACTCATCTAGTCCTAAGCTGTCAATGAACTCCCAAAATCATCCGTTCTTCCAAATATACGATTTTTTTACACCCATCTCTGAGCATTAATTTATTTTCAGTACAACCTTAAATGAAAATCCCTTACGTAAGCAACATTCATTAATGTTTCCTGCCCTTTAGCCTGATGGAATGATGAACCTCGGGTGACTTCAATGAGTTTGTTATTCCATTTGAGTGCTGATTCAAAATCATCTTAGCGATTGAAACTTCAAATGAAAAACCTGTTAACAATCACGTTTTATAGCCAGGGACTCAATACCATTTCAGTTTCTCCACTCTGTGATCATGTTCACTCATATATGATGTTTGGGACCAAAGCACACAGCTAAGTTCAACTTATTTCCCAGCATGAACTGGAAGAGAATGTGCTCATTCCCATCAAAGCCAGAATCAGATACAGCAATTCCTACATCCGAGTTGGTGCCATTTTCCGTACCTTTTGGGGCTGTTTCTTCCAATGGCCAGTGTCTTTTGCTGTAAAATGTGGCTATTTCTCACACCATTGTATGATCCAGTTCACAACTGAATAATGTCAAATTATTTAATATATTTAAACCTAAGACGTTCTATTTGGTGGCTCATTTTCTAACCATGCAAACGCTGACACTGACTTTGCTAACGCACTGCAACCATTTCCAAAACCATGAGAAACCATCACAACGAGGAATCGGAGAATTCGTGTGACCTATGTTAAATTGCACAGACGTCTTCCTCTCCCCATTGAGCATAAAAATTTGCAACCAGACAATCCAAAACTATGATTCAGCAAATAAAACACCCATGTACCTCCTAGTGAGCAAAGGCGACCCAGACTGTAAAAATGTGCAACATCCGAACTGTTTCTGTTTTCAGGAACCTCCAGCCACAACTAAATGCATCCTTTAAATCGTCTGGCTTTTGTTATTTTAAACCAAGCCCTCCATAATACTTTAATATGGGGGTTGCTTGAAAACGTAAGTACTGGGAATAACCATGGTAGTACATTATTGTCAAAAACCAAACAATCTTATATTTCCTCCACTTTCATTAGTCAGAGCATCAGCTCCATAGTGTATGTTGTATATACAGACCTTTGAAAGGAAAGAAAATCTTTGGGAGTTTACCAAGATCTCCAAGCATGCTCTGTCTGCTGAAAAATAGATACACAATAGCAAATATAGCTTTTTTTTTTCCTGGCAGAACAATGGAAACAAATTTGCTACCGTTGAATCACACACATGAATCCCAAACCAACATGACCATAACTCAATATCCACCCCCGCATATACACACAGAGTATTTTATAGGTTATTTTTATGGAACTCCAGTTTTATAAAAAAAAATACATAATTCTTCTGAACTAGTATTTCTTAATTGAATATAGCATGAAACCTAGAAGTCACGGCTGGTTTATGTAAGGAGGTGGAGAAATAAACTAATGAACCATTGGCTAACAGATTAACTACCTAAGATGAACCAACCAGATAATCCATTAGTTAAGTAACTACCCAACCATGATGAAATAACCAAGAGGGCCATCAGTTAATAGATCCATCAAGATGAACCAACCAAACAGTCTACTAGGTGCAAGAAGAATCAAAGAAATCAACCAAGTGAAACAATGCCGAACTCCGTGTTATCCAAAAGAGATGAAATACAACTTCTAACTTGTCAACATAGAGAAGCTCTTAACTAACCCAAACACACATCACGAAATCTGGAAATGTGACCACCGCACGGGCACCAGGCAGGACTGAAAATGATTTGTGCAGCTGTACTCACGAAGATTATTTATGGGGGTCCTCGTATCCATGTTCTCGTAATGCTGGACGTGGACGACAATGTTAAGGTCTCTCTCCATGTGGTCAGTGTTGCAGTGGCCCTGTGGCCTCATGACATCCGCAAGGGCCCTGAAAGAAGAAAGAATTTAAATCTGTTCATTGCAAAAACAGTGGTCGGCACCTGCTATGCACTGAGCACTGTGCTTGTGAACAAAAAGCAAGGCCGCTGACTCCTCGGAAGCCTGCGTTCTAGGTAGGGGTAGGGTGGAGAAAAACACAAGTAAATAAAGTCACTGTAATTAGAGGTTACCTTAGGGACTTCACACAGACTGGTTTACATGCTTCTCACAACAGCCATATAATAACAGGGATATCTACCCCAGGGAGTCATTGAGAGGATTGAATGATGAATACACGGAAGGTGTCTCCACTTCGTAGATTTAGTTCTCTCTTTATATCTAACACTAGATACCAACACTTCGTGTACAGCCATGACCCAATATTAGTAACAACAGATAACATTTATCGAGTACTTACCGTAAGCCAGGCACCATGCTAATAGCATTACATGCCTTAACTCAACAAAGCAGCACAAAACACCTTGCAAGAATCATTACTCCTTTGCAGATGAGTAAACAAAGGCTCAGAGAGGTGAATTAACCTGCTCAACCAGCAAGCTGTGGCACAGGGACTTGAACCAGAGTCTTTTTAGCGGGTGGATGTGGGGATGGAGACACAATGCAACCCATAACATTGACCTTCACAATTAGATGTCAATTTAGGAATAAATCTCTCTGTTTATGCAAAACAGAGCAGAGATCTGTCAAACAAGTATCACACCTAAGATTAGACTTACCAACACATTTTTTTCTCTTTATCTACCCTCTATCATGTCTTTATTTAGATATATGAATATCTTTGAAAGATACATAATATTGTAGGTATTATTGCATATGTGTGTATCCTTTACATAAATGGTGTTTTTACCATAAACTTCATTCTCTTTCTCCCTTTTCACACGTGAGAGCCAGCCATATTGCTGAGTGTGAATCTCTTTCCTCCCTTGCAATTGCTGCATAGCATCTCATCATATGCAACCTCCATATTTCACTTGCCTGCAGGGATGACAGTCCCCATCTGCAACTATTAATAGTATGGTAGAGCAACTGACCAATCAGAATGGATCCTAGCTACAAACATCCAGATGTTTTATTTCAAACCAGCAGACTATCAGTCCTATTTATCATTTCCATAATTATGGGCATCTAGATGGTAACCAACTCGCTGGCCCCTGTGAACGACAGTGCAATAAATATCTTCATACAGGCCTCCTCTTGGCCCAGGGAGAGTTTCTCCGGGACACAAACCCACAAGTGGTAGAGTCATGTTTCAGGATATACCCAAATATTCTTAGCTAACCAGAACCTTCTGAGTCCATATAAAGGGAGACAGAGAAGGAAAATGAACTGTTTCGGTGAGGCCCACCCAGACCATCTCTGAACTCAGCAGGCCCAGCCCGTCTGCTGAAATTTACCCCGCTACTGCAGTGGCTCTCAGTGGTCTACCAGTCAGCACCGTCAGTGTCACCTGGGAACTTGCAAAGGTACAAACTTTCAGATGCATCCAGACCTGCTGAGTCAGAAACTCCAAGGGCGGGGCCCAGCAAGCTGTGCTTTCACAGGCCCTCCACGTGAGTCTGCTGCACATTCAGGTTGGAGACTGTGCTAAAGCAGTAGAGGCCCCGAGCTTGGGGAATGGTTGATGCTGGGGCAATGGGATGACAGAGCAAGAACCACAGACGGGGAGAAGTCGCAGATGTGACGGAGACCCAGGTCAGCACAGCAAGAGTCCCACATGGAATAGAGGAAAAATTGAGTGCACGAAGAGACCAAAGAACAGCAACAGCTGTCATTTTCTTTCATTCATTCAACAAATATTTATTGTTTACTATGTGTCATGTCCTAGACAAAGTCCTGAGGATACAGTTATATAGAAGACTAACAAGGTCACTGCCTTCCCGGAGCTTATATTCTATAGGAAAAGATAAAAAATAAACATGTTAAGCAAATAAACAAGGCCTTCGAATAAATAATTTTTTCAAAAGAGTGATGTGATCGAGAGAGACTGGTACATAGGAGCATTTTTCATAATATCCAAAAAGTAGAAACAACCCGAATAGCCATCCACTGATGAATGGATACACAAGATGTGTCGTATGAAGTGGAATATTATCCAGCCATAAGAAGGAATGAAGCACTAACACCTACTTTAACATGAAGGAATCTTGAAAACATTGTTCCTAGTGAAAGAAGCCAGACACGAAAAGCCACATATTGTATGATTCCACTTATATCCAGTGTCCAGAGTAGGCAAAGCCATAAAGACAGAAAGTAGATTCAAGGTTTCCAGGGTCTAGTGGCAGGGGAAAGGTGACTGATGATGGATATGGGCATTTTTTTTTAGAGTGATGAAAACATTATTAGAATTAGATAGTGGACCGGAAGTAAATAATGATCATGGTTGCGCAAATTTGTCAATACACTAAAAACTAATATATTTTGTTTTTTTAAAAAAAAATTACAAATAAACAGAGAGAGGGGTGAGAGATGGTGTGATCAGGAAAAGCCTTCCTGGGGAAATGACAGTTGAGTTGAGCCTTGAACAGTGAGCAGTTGGTCATGAGAAGATCATAGACCATTCTATGCTGAGAGAACAGCAAGTGCAAAGGCCCTGGGGCAGGAAAGAGCTCAAGTATTTGAAGAACAAGCAAGAAGGCCAATAAAGCTGGAATGGGGCAAACAAGAAAGGCTACATTACCAGGTGTGGGTTATCATAACCCATTTCACAGAACGAAAGACTGCCCAATTTAACCCAGCTTATCAGTGGGGGGATTGAGTGGAGATGCAAACCTGAATGACTTTGAAGTCACAGTTCAAGCTCCTTGCTGCCTCTGTGCAATAAGCAGGGAAGGAAGTTTTAAAGCACAGGACAGAGGCCTTCTGAACCTAACTTTTTCCCTTCCAAACAGGTTCTTCATTCTGAATTCAGGGGATCGCTGAACTCCTCTAAAATTGAATGGAATTTTGTTTGTGCATTTTGCTCAAGCAAGAAGCTATAGCTTTTATGGGACTCTCTAAGGAGTCCCCCTTCACACTCCAAAATAATCAGGCTTTCAAGAGGATTGCAAAATACGTAATCAGGATGGCTACCATGAACTTGGCCAGCACCGCCATCTGCAGCTGCCCTGGCCTGATTCTGAGTGCCAAAATTTGTGAAATTCCAGCCCAAAAGCCTAAGGACACTTTTCCCCAAGGCAGCCCTTCCCAGAGCATGCAGGAGAGATGAGGATCCTTAGAGACTCCCCTTTCCTGGACCAGGAGTCTCCAGAGTAACACACTTGCTCACTCCAGGGATGGCATAAGATGATTTCGCATGGAGGAAGGAAATGTCCGAACTTCTTTGTATGATCTTTAGTCATTAAAAATCAGAAATCAATTTGATACACCCACTCTTGGAACACCCATGTCAGATGGCAGGAATCGGGGACCTTGGACCAAGGAAGGTGATCACTAGCAACACCTTCACTGGGACGTGGTTACATGTGCCCTTGAAGGGGGTGCACAGATTAAATTATCTGCATTTGACTACACTAACCGTTGCAAAGCAGGCATGTGGCTTAAAAATGCCCCGTTTAACCAAACCACAGCCTGAAGACAGTACCGATAATGCAAGCACAAGAAAACAACAAAGCGAACTCCCCTTCCCTCTCTTCAATAGCGTCTTACAAGGTTAAAACAGTGAAGGTCTATTCAGATTGAAGCAAAGTCCCACCAAAAATAATCACAACTCTCAGGAGGAATCTTCAAAACATGGATTTATTTATTAACGATGAACTTCACCCTCAGTGTACATTATGCTTTGAGATATTAGCTAATGATAGTATGAAGTCATCACAATTAGCAACAGATTTTAAAACAATATTTATTTCACCTTTGGCTCAGTTTAAAACTTCTTATGCATACTTACAAATGTATCGAATAATTGTTCATGGGCAAAGGCACATGAATACACTTAGTAAAACAAATGTGCATACATTGAGGAGCATACAAAAAATATTTTATAAATAGGGATGTGTCCAAAAAAAATTTGATGAATTAGATGGTTAAAAGAAACCACCATGTGCCTCAAAAAATACAGATGCTTAAGGATTTGGCATTTGTTTGTGACACATAGTTTAGATGCATCTCAAATTTTAATGTGCATTCAGAGCATCTGGGGGATCTTGTTAAAATACAGATTCTGATTCAGTAAGTCTGAATCTCCACCACCTGCTCAAGCTCCCAGGTGATGGGGATTCTGCTGGTCCACAGGCCGCACTCCTGAGTCGCAAGAGCCTAAGGGTGCCGTGATGGTGAGTGTTCTGCGTCAAGTTGACTGGGCCATGGGGTGCCCAGATATTTGATCAAACATTATTCTGGGTGTTTCTGTGAGGGTGATCCTGGGTGACATAAACATTTAAATCAGTAACCTGAGTAAAGCAGATGGCCCTTCCTAATGTGGGCGGGCCTCATCCAGCCATTTGAAGGCCTAAATAGAACAGAAGGTTAATCCTAGCTCTCTGGGAGGCCGAGGCGGGAGGATTGTTTGAGCTCAGGAGTTCGAAACCAGCCTGAACAAGAGCGAGACCCCGTCTCTACTAAAAATAGAAAGAAATTAATTGG